TCAGTGGTGCGTACCCAGTTCTGGAAAGATGGAGGGAAGGAGGGTGACCGAAGGCACGGTCGAAGAGGAAGTTCTTGAAGGCGGCAAGGGAGGGGGCGAGGTGGAGGGACTGCAGGATGGAGGTGCAGAGAGTAGGGGTGGAGTGGCTGAAGACTCGCCTGCCAATGGTGGGGCGGGTGAGGCGGGAGACCTGAAGCATGCCAGAGTCTGCTGAGCGGAGGCAGCAGGCAGGTTGGTAGGGGGTTAGGAAGTTGCAGAGGTAGGGGGGAGCAAGGCCATGGGGGGTTTTGAAGGTGAGGACCAAGATCTTGAACTGTATCCTCTGTGTGATGGGAAGCCAGTGGAGTCGGGCGAGGCTGGGGGTGATAGGGTCATGAAACCTGGTGCTGGAGAGGACACGGGCTGCAGAGTTCTGAATGATCTGCAGGCTATGGAGGGAGGAGTTGGGGAGGCCGACAAGCAGGGAGTTTGTGTAGTCGAGCCAAGATGTTATGAATGCATGTATGAGGGTCTCGGCTGCCTGTGGTGTAAGACAGTGGCAGAGCTGTGCAATGTTGCGAAGGTGGGGGAAGGCTGATCGGGTCATGGCACGGATGTGGGGTAGAAAGGACAGTTGAGAGTCAAACAAGACGCCAAGCTTCCAGACTGGCTCAGTGAGGTGGTGATGCTGTCAGTGCCTGAGGTGTGGAGGCGCTGACGGGAGTCAATCAGGAGGGCCTCGGTCTTGTTGATGTTTCTCTGTAGAAAATTAGCTCTTATCCAGGACTTGATGTCTGAAACACATTCTGTCAATGATCCTGGAATGGAGTGTGGAGGCAGAGAGATAGAGTTGGGTGTCATTCGCATACATGTGGAAGTTGACCCCATGTCTGCGGATGATGTCACCAAGATCGAGCATTTAGGTAGTGAAGAGGAGCTCTGAGGAACGCGCATGAGACTGTGGGTGGCTAGAGGAGAAACCGTTTGTGGAGATAAAGTGGAGACGGTGTGAGAGGTAGGCTCTGCCCTGGGATCAGTTACTATAAAGCGCTCTGAAACGCCGTCCGACGTGGAGGGCGCTATATAAATCCAAGTTGTTGTTGAACCATTGAAGAACAGAACCATGAAGGTTGAGGTGAGAGGAGAGGTAGTGGAGGAAGATAGAGTGGTCAACGGTATCGAAGGCAGCAGAGAGGTCAAGGAGGATAAGGAGGCAAAGAGAAGTCTTGGTTGCAGATGGAAAAAAATGTAATTTGTCACTTTGACCAAAGCTGTTTCTGTGCTGTGGGCAGCACGGAAATCCGATTGGAGGGATTCATGAAGGGAGTGGCAGGAGAGGAAGGAGCGAAGCTGGGAAGCAACGACTCGTTCCAGGACCTTGGAAAGGAAAGGGAGGTTGGAGATGGGGTGGGTCCAGGGAGAGTTTTTTAAGGAAAGGAGTGATGACGGCTGTTTTTAAAGAGGTAGGAATGCTGCCAGTGGACAGGGAGAGCGAGAGGTTTAGATGTCTGAGTAAAGGGGCAAAAGAGGTGGAGCTGGGAGCTAAGGAGAGGGATGGGGTCAGGGAGCAGGTGGTAGGTTTCATTTGGGTTGTGATGGTGAAAGAGCAGGGGAGGGAGGGTGGGGTACAGGCTAGTGTGTGAGCGGGAGCTGAGGAGGGGGCAGCAGACGGAAGGGCAGAGGCAGCTGAGCCAATTCCCTCGACTTTGGTTTTGAGGAAGTCCAGCATTTCCTCGCAGTTGGCGTTGGAGGAGAAGATGGGAAAGGCATGAGAGGGTGGACGGATGAGCCAGTTGGTGATGGAGAAGAGGGTATACAATACATACAAATATTTATACACTGCTTTTCACGTTGGTACAAGGCGCTTGACAGACCTGGCCCGAGCTGCGGGGAGCCAGGAGGTATAGAGCGGTAGAATTTGAGGAAGAAATCTGAGAGATGATGCATATTAAGAACATTCACCTTTGTGGCATCTTTATTTTTAATTTTTCATTTTTAAGAACTTGCTTGAAAAGCTAATTTTGCTAGTATCTCCTGGTGTCCTGGCCAAGAATCTCCCAATAAAATTGGTCGTAAAATCCTTGCATTTGATATAGCGCTTTTCACGTCGGGAGGATGTCCCAAAGCGCTTCACAGAACACCTGTAAAGTGAATTGACTGTATATTTGTGGGCGAACGCGGCAGCCAATTGCGCACAGCAATGTCCCACAAAACAGTCGTAGATTGAAAATGACCAATTTATTATTGTTTTTTTTTGTTTTGGAGGGATTATTATTAGGTGTGTGGAGTAAGGAAACTTGCCCAAGGTTTCGCCCTCTGCCTGGAATTGAACTCAGGTCTCTCACTTGCAAAGCAAGTGCTCTAACCACTGAGCCACAGGACTCCACAAGGATTTTGGCAGCCTGTGGTGTGAGATAGTGGCAGAGCCAGGCGATGTTGCGGAGTTGGGGAGGAAGGCAGAGTGGATCATGGCAAGGATGTGGGTTAGAAAGGTAGTTGACACCAAGGTTCCAGACTGCTTCGTAAGGTGGAATGAGCATCCATGGATGTTGATGCTGTCAGCGCCTGAGGTGTGGAGACAGCCAAAATTGGCTGCCATATTCATCTACAAACACAGTCACTCCACTTGACAGTTTATCCTATCAGCTCTTTGAGACATCCTCCCAATGCGATAGGACTTGTACCAAATGCAACGATTTTTGGGGTATTTCAGATATGACACAGTGTTGTGAATGCAGACTGTCATCTGTGTTAACTGCTTTAGTGCTTATCTATACAAATGTAATTTTGTTGTTTATCACCACTTGCCATATTTTATATTCAGGTTTTGCAACTGTGTGGGAAAAAGAAATCTCTGGCAGGGGCTGCTCAGATTCTCTTGAAAGGAGCAGATAGATTAAGTAAATCTGTGGCAGAAAACCAGGAACATAAACGGCAAAGAGACTTCAACTCTGAACTGCTCAGACTGAGGCAACACTGGAAACTAAGAAAAGTTGGCGACAAGCTTCTTGGGGACCTGAGTTATAGAAGCGCAGGTATGAAATATGTGAAGTACTTGGATATATCGCCCACAGGTACCTTCGAGTTGTCGCCTCCCAACTGCGCTCTTTCCTTTCCACCCATTCACTTTTCGAACCCCTTCAGTCAGGTTTCCGTGCTGCCCATAGCACAGAAACTGCCCTGGTCAAGGTCACCAATGATATCCTGACCATCTGTGACCAGGGTTCCCTCTGCCTCCTCGTCCTCCTCGACCTATCGGCAGCATTCGATACGGTCGACCACGCTATCCTACTCCACCGCTTGCCCTCCCACCTCAACCTTCAAGGCCCTGTCCTTGAGTGGTTTAGGTCGTACCTTTCTCACCGTCTTCACTTTGTCTCGACGAATGGCTTCTCCTCCACCCCCCGTACTGTCTCATGTGGTGTCCCTCAGGGCTCTGTCCTCGGTCCCCTCCTCTTCACCCTCTATATGCCCTCCCTTGGTGACATCATCCGCAGACATGGGGTTAACTTCCACATGTATGCGGATGACACCCAACTCTACCTTTCCTCCTCTACTCTCAACTCCACGACCACCGATGTCCTGACAGCCTGCCTGTCCGACATCGAGTCCTGGATGAGAGACAACTTTCTTCAGCTCAACGTGCGAAAAACCGAGGCCCTCCTGATTGGCTCACGTCAGCGCCTCCGCACCTCAGGCGCTGACACCATCAGCATCCAAGGCTGCACTCTCCACCTCTCAAAGCCAGTCAGGAACCTCGGCGTTTTGTTCGACCCTGAGCTGTCCTTTCTCCCTCACATCCGCACCACAACTGGCACCGCCTTCCATCACCTCCGGAACATCGCCAGACTACGGCATTACCTCACCCCTCACGCTGCTGAAACCCTGGTTCACGCCTTTGTCACCTCAAGGCTGGACTATGGGAACTCTCTCCTCCGGCCTTCCCGCCACCTCCCTCCACAAGCTGCAGGTCATTCAGAACTCTGCAGCTCGTGTACTGTCCCGCACCAGGCTTCGGGACCACATCACTCCCACCCTCGCTCGCCTCCACTGGCTCCCCATCCCCCAGAGGATCGAATTCAAGATCCTCATCCTCACCTACAAGGCCATTCACGGCATTGCTCCCTCCTACCTCTCCAACCTACTATCCCCCTACCTACCTGCCCGTACCCTCCGTTCCTCTGGCTCCGGTCTGCTCCACGTCCCCCGCCCCAATCGCCCTACCATTGGTGGCCGGGCCTTCAGCCTCTCAGCCCCTAGGCTCTGGAACTCCATCCCCCAGTGCCTTCGCATTGCTTCCTCCCTTTCCTCCTTCAAGGCCGGTCTCAAAAACCTTTCTCTTTGACCGAGCCTTCAGCTCCCCTCTCGACTCTCTTCCCCTCCTCGCTCCCTCCCATCCCTCCCCTCACCCTGACCATTTCCCCCCTCCTCGCTCCCTCCCTTCCCTCCCCTCACCCTGACCATTTCCCCCCTGCTCGGGTCATGACCCAACTGTGCAGCGCCTTGGGACGTCCTCCTGACGTGAAAGGCGCTTTATAAATGGAATCTTGTTGTTGTTGTTGTTGTTCACACCAAGCACACCCCAAGCTCTAATCTCCTCCTACCCACTCCTCCCCTCAGTTAACTCGGGCTTGCTGCACATCTCTTGTCCTACCTGCCACAGTTGGTGGTAGAGCTTTCAGATTCTACCTCTGGAACTCCCTAAACCTCTGTCTTGTCCCCTCTTTATCTGTCTTCAAGTTCCATAAATCTACCTCTGACCTGTGGTTACCTTCCCCTACCCTCCTCTCCCTGCTCAAATCTGCAACTAAGAAATGTGCAAATAATTTAAAAACAACAACAAACAAATTGTATTTATATAGTGCTTTTCACATAGGGAGGGCAAAGGTGCGAGACAGTGAAGGGTTTGCACCCGAGCTGTAGGTTGGAGTCAGGAGCGGTGGAGGAAAGGTGATGGTGGTGGGAAGATGATTGCAGGCATGGTCAAAGAGGAAAGCTTTAATAATGGAGAGGGTTATTCTCTTCTCCTTCCATTCAAAGTCTGGAGAGAATTGTGTCCTAGTCTGAGTAACATTCCAAGTATACATGGACTTCATTGAAACACAGTGAGTCTATGTATACATTTGTATTCTTCTCCATCTCTGCTCTCCTTCGGGAATGTCTGAGAGACAACTTAATTACCTGTGACAGTAGTTTAATTAGAAATGTAATCAGAATATGGAAAGACTCGCTGTGCACTATGAGATTCATCACGGCTTACTCAGTGAAAATGCAAGTCCCCAGGGAAATACGCACACGGGACATTTTTTGGCCACCATTTCAATTAAAGTGTTAGGAAAACCCACTGGGGATGAGAGAGAGAGTTAAAAGTGCTTCTATTAAACTCAACTTTTTTTTCCTAAGGGTCCCTTTTCCCTCACCATGGGACATTTGAAGTCATTAAGAATACTGACATAGATCCAGATAAGAAAATTCCAGATGATTATTGTCCCCTTGATGTTGTCATTCCGAGTGATCTGGAGGGATCAGCATATATTAAGGTAAAGTGGTGATCTGATTAACTTGTTCTTTTACTGCCTCTTCAAGTAAAGTGTAAAATCCGCTTAACCTGACCAGTGATAGCACTATTTATTCAGATTTGAGAAGTGCTCAGTATTTGTGCACCTCACCTTCTACCATTCTTTCTCCTCTCCTTCAAAATTCTCCTAATTTACTGCCTCTTCCACCCCAAACCTCCTGGCTCCTTCCTAACAGATCTCTCCCTCTTATCCTCGTTCCTCTGCACAAAATGTCTGCTCATAATGAGCTTTTCAAGCTTCATCTCAATTCCTCCTGCCCCATCTTCTCTGACTTTGACACTCTCCTCTCCATGCTACACCTCACCCTCTACGTAAACGCCCTGACCCACAACTGTGGCCGCACTCTCAAACTCATCATCACCCGTGGAAAATACTTCCCCCGATTCCCTCATAAACCCCCTCTCATCCTCGGACCTTCTCTCCCTCTGGCCTTCCACCTGCAGTGATCCAGACACAGTTGTCAAGCTGCTGAACGATCACTTCTTCAACTTTCAATTCCCTGGACCCCTTGAAAACCAGATCGGTCTCCAAGCAGTCATTTCTGCTCCCTCAAATCCCAAACCCAGTTGCTCGAGCATAGGTGGCGCAAAACCGGCCTCACGGTTCACCGCTAACTGGTTCAAGCATCTTCATATCTACCACCGCTCTCTTTTTCAAGCCCAAACCATCTTCTCTTCACAGGTCATTCTCAAGGCCAAAAATAATCCCCAAATCCTGTTCTCCACCACCCATTATTACCTCCTCCACACCCCTCTCAAGCACCCTTGATCCTCACTTCAGATGCCGAGTGCGAAGAGGTCGTGGACGTCTTTATTTCTAAGATAGACAACATCTGACTGGCTGCTGTCTCCTCCTTCTCCCCTCCTTTTTTTCCGCCCTCTTCCCCAGCTTCTCCCACAGCCCACCCTCTACACTCCTTTGCCCCCATCTCTCCCTCCTCCCTTTCCCCTACCATCAACCAAATGAAGCCCACCATCTGCTGCCTCGACCCCATCCCCACCCAGCTTCTGGTCACTCAACTCCCCCTCCTCTGCCCACTGCTGGCTGCTACACAATCACCAGTCCCTTTCCTCAGGCTCTGTCCCACCCCCACTCAAAACTGCTGTCATCACTCCTCTTTTTAAAAAAAACCCACCCTTGATCCCTCCAACCTCAAAAACTTCGGACCCATCTCAAATCTGCCTTTCCTGGCCAAATTTTTGGAACACACCGTTGCAAATCAACTTCGCTCACGCCTCCACCTCATTGCCTGCCTCCATCCTTACCTCACAACCAACGCAGCTGAAACCCTCGTTCACGCCTTCGTCACTTCCCAGCTGGACTATTCCAACACCCTGCTCGCTGGTCTCTCCCCAGCTCCATGATGCGCAAAATACAATTTAACTCAAAACTGCATTGCCCGGATAATCACTTGCACAAAATTACTGTACCCCCATCGTACAGTCCTTCCCAGACCCCACTGGTTCCCAATTACCGAATCAAGATTCTCTCACTCGTTTTCAAATCCCTTCATGCCCTTGCATCTCCCTACCTATCTGACCTACTTACCCGACACCACCACCCACTGCCTCCGCTCGGCCTGCTCCAGCCTCCTGTTTGTCCCCCATGCCCTCCGTTCAGCCACAATTCCTCGAAACTATGGAACTCTCTCCCTCCATCCCTCCTTGCTCTCTCCCTCCCCACCTTCAAATCCCACATAAAGACCTTCCTTTTTGATCATGCTTACAATTACCTCCTTTTCCCCCGGCTCATTGTCAGACCCCACCACTGTCAAGCACTCCGGGACACTAGCCTGCATGAAGGGCACTATATAAATGCAAGGTTTGTTGTTGTGTTTGCTTTTAAGCCCATTTTAACTTGTTTCTTTTTCTCCCATTGATTTTCTCAGAAAAAAATTGCACTGGATTGGAAAAGACTATTTCATTGTAATTTGTCATATCTCTCAATTGATTTCTTCTTCAAATAGCTATCAGATTTTCTCCTGGATTTGTTGACACAATCTGTCTCCCTTGGTAGTCAATTTGTATATTAATCTTTACACTCCCTGTGTAAAGTTATTAAATTAGAACTGTCTTGTCACCTTCTTGTTTGCCTACGTTTGAGCCCCTTTTTAGAAGATCCAACCATGTTAAATATATTCTTAATTATCTTTGTCCTTTAGGATCTTCAATATTAACTCCCACGAGCCTTCTTTTTATTGCAGTGATGCTGATATTAACTTTTTATATTGGCTGTTTTTATATTGATTAACATGTTTGATTATTTTTCGTCCTGAGTGACTTTATTAAGATCTTGTCGTAGAGACTGTAAGTGAAGTAAATTATAATTATGCTTTTTTTTAAAGGTTTCTATTCAGAAGCAGGCTCCTGATATTGGGGATCTTGGTACAGTTAATCTCCTCAGGCGACCTACACAAAAGCCCAAACCAGGTAACTTGATTACATTGATTTATTTTCAGGGATAGCCTTGACTTAAGCTGATAGAGCTGCCAAGTAGCTCCAAGAATTTCATTTGTCACTTATTTTAATTGAAAATTTACCGTGATAAATAGCATTATTAGTAAAATCTACTGCACTGAGAGAAAAGTGTCTACTCCTTTGGTTCACCCGAAATATAGAAATTACAGCATAGAAGATCATTTGATGCTAGTTCTTCCACTAGAATTATCCACTTTAATCCCATTGCCTTGCCCCTTTCCTGTGCCCTTTTATATTCTTTCTCTTCAAATGTTTATCTAATTCCTTTTTTAATATTATGGTATCAGTCTCAAAAGCCACTTATGTCAAAACATTGCATATTTTAATAACCCTTCTAACCACCCTTTAACTCATAATAATCCTTTGTCCTTTGAGACTGTTGACCACTCCATCCTTTTCCACCATCTTTCCTCCCTTTCTACCTCCACGGCTCAGCATTCTCCATTTATTGTCTTATCTATTTCAACGTCTCCTCCAACAGCTATTTCTGCCTGTTCATTGTCACTTGTGTTCCTCTGGGCTCTTTCCATGGTCCTCTCCTTTTTTCCTCTGCCTCCTGCTTAGTGACATCTAGGCATTGAGTCTGCTTTCACAAGTTTGTGGATGACACCCTACTTTACTTTTCTGCCTTTGTCTTCAAGAACTGCTGCCTGTTAGACATCAAGTTGTCAATGAGCTTTAACTTCTTACAATTGAAACTCGAAAAAATAATGCTGTTATCTTGCTTAGCTCCCGCCCAGTGCCTACTGGATCAGCTTCCATGGCTGCTCATTCTAGCTCACAGTGTGCAATCTTGCCTTTTTTTTCAAACCACAACTTTCAAAACTTTTCACCCAACTCATGATCAAGTCTGCTTTCCTGAATCTCCACTACATCTCTTGCCTCTGTCCCTACCTCATCAAAATAGTCATCCAACCCTTTGTAACTTCCAAACTTGGCTTGTCACATATCCATCACCTTCATTCTTCCTGGGCTCCTCTGGTTTGCGATTCTCCAGTGGATTCACTTTAATTTTCCCAATTCTAACTTTCAATGCACTATGTCCTTCCTTCTCCCGACTTTGATCTCCTGTGGGCCTACTCATCACCCATTTCCTCGGCTTTACCAGCTCAAGCTTGCTTCATACTCCCCTGCTCTTTCACCCCCACTATAGGTAAGAGAGTTTTCGGCACTTTAACATCCTGCTCCCTGCATTTTTTTCCCTAAATTCTTACATTTTTTTCATACAGCGCCTTTCATGTTGGGAAAGTGTCTCAAAGTGCTTCACAGGATTTACTTTAAAATGAAGTGACTGTATTTTGTGGACGAATACGGCAGCCAATTTGCACACAGCAGTGCCACACAAACAGCCATTAAATGAACAACCAATTTTATTTGTTTTTTATTTTATTCTCCTTTCTCTTTTTGAGTAATGTCATGGGATCTTTAACGTTTAACTGAACAGGCAGATGGGGCCTCAGTTTAATGCCTCTTCTGAATGATGACACCTTGTACAATACAACCCTCGCACCCCCATATTACATTCAGGTATCAGAATAGACTGTGAGTTCAAAGACTCAAAGTGAAGTTTGAACCCACAACCTCCTGATTCAGAGGCAAAAGCCAGGCTGACAACTATATTGGAGTCCTGAAGCTCAGTGGTTAGACCACTCGCTTTGCAAGCGAGAGACCTGAGTTCAATTCCCGGCAGGGCGAAACCTTGGGCAAGTTTCCTTACTCCACACGCCTAATAATAATCCCTCCAAAACCAAAAACAGTAATAAATTGGTCATTTTCAATCTACGACTGTTTGTGGGACATTGCTGTGCGCAATTGGCTGCTGCGTTCGCCCACAAATATATAGTCAATTCACTTTACAGTATATTCTGTGAAGCGCTTCGGGATGTCTAGAAGACGTGAAAAGCTCTATATCAAATGTAAGGATTATTATTATATAAACTTTAATGTTCCTTCTCCAAATTAAATATTTTTTAAAAGGTTTTTTTAAAGCTGTATGTTGTTTACAGGTACTGCACATTGGCAGACCAAGCTGGAAGCAGCACAAAGTGTTCTCCTGTGTAAGGAAATCTTTGCACAGCTCTCTCGTGAAGCAGTGCAGATTAAATCTCAAATACCTCATATTGTGGTGAAAAATCAGATCATCTCGCAACCTTTTCCAGGTAAAGATTATGTTTTTTTTCAGATTCAGCACTATGGTGCTATAAATTATTTGTGTGACAAATAAAGTGAATGTTTGCACACAGCAAATGTAGACTTCAAATTATTTTAATTATTATTTCTTTGTAGTTATTTTCACTTTGTATGTTTTGGCACTGCAGTCATGGACATAGAACTCACAAATCCAACTAGTTTTCATAACGTAATAAATGAATTATAAAAACAAATTGTTACTGTTTCCATTATGTAAAATTGGTCTGGACTGTTCCAGGGTGGATGTTGGCAGCGGGTGGTTGCTGAATAGAGGTGGTTGCTTTCACATATTTGACTATATTTTATACGGGTGAGACCAAGATCTATCTGTTTCTTGGTGACTATGTGCTAGTTTTGGATTTGGAACATTTAGAAGACGTTAAGGGAAAGCTGTAGATAACTCACTTATGAATTTTTTTGAGAGTCAGCCATGTGCCTGATGCATACATGCTTAAGAGTGGTGATGGGTTTCTGCACGTGTCAGACATACCGGCTGACCAAAAACATTTCCATAGCTGAGTTGCTCACCACTTTCTCTTCTAGAAATGTTAAAGATGAAATGAAAAGGCTGATTGCCCTGGGGACCGTGTAGCCACTATAATATGCTTAGCTATACAAATCCTACCCTTGGGAGACTTTTAAAAGCGCTCTGCATTAACCAGCATGAAGGACACTATATAAATGCAAGTTATTTTAAAGCATCGGATTAACCAGTTGAAAACTGTAGTAACATACTAAAGTGTAAATTCAGACAAAAATACTGGAAATATGAAATGAAGCTTCCAAAGAATCATATAGTGTGATTAATTTGTTTAGACTATTCAGAAGTTTATACAGTTTCAAACCTTTTTTGAATTTCAGTCTATGATCATTATAACCTTTTAGAATTGTTCAACGTTTATTATTAAATATGCACAGCCTCTAGTTAATAGCTCAAAATGCTGTATCTAGAAGCCCAAGCTCTGTAATTTTACTGCCGGTTGTTTTTCCAGTTTTTAGATATTAATAGTATGAATATTAATATTAAAATATTAAATATTAAAAGAATTATGCTTTGCAGGAATGCATGTGACTGAACATTCTTATCTGTTATACTGCAACAATATAGGGAGGATAACCTAATAAGGCATTGCATACAGAACAATTTATACATTGTAGGAGATAACTCTGGATTTACTTTCTGCCATCCAGAGTTGTGCAAGAACCTCATATGTTTGGTAGAAATTATTCTATGAATAGCGTTGTGGATACATGACTGTCCTATATCTATTGAGAAATTAAATCTTTTTCTGAATCTAATTTCTTTTGATGTGGCTGTTTTTATCTACTTTAGAGGTTTATGTTGACTAATGCTGCACATAAGGTATTCCTTAACTGATAACTTAAAGTTAGGGAACATGCGCTGGAATTACAATAACAACTTGCATTTATATAGCTTAGCATAGCGCCCCTCACGTAGGATAGCGTTCCAGAACGCTTGATTTTCATGCATCAGGCCCTCCAAAGTGCAGTTTGACTTGCTGCATCTCAACATGTTGTATGTTTCTTTTTTGAAACAACTCAAGAAATATCTTAATAGCATGAGATTGTATCCTTTTTGTTCCTTTGTTTTTATCACTGATTAACTTAATGCTGTGTTTTAGGTTTGCAGTTATCAATTTCCTTGTGCCATTTTGTAAATGACAAGAAGTCCCAGAAAGTTTCTGTGGAGAATCAACGACCAGATGATCACTTGTACGTGCTGGAACACAATCTTCATCAGCTGATGAGAGAGGTATTTGGAAGGATTCCAAACTTTCCTATTTTATCAGTCATGTTAGATGCCAATTTTTAAGTGTTGAAGCTATGATATAAAGCTAAATGTCTCTTCATGAATTCCTTTAATTGAGGTAAAGGAATACTGGATGACCAACTACTTCTACTAAATGCAGTCATTGTGCTTCTACCTGACTTTAGTCTTAAATAACCTAATGTAAATGGCAAAAGCATATTCGAGCAAGACAGAGGTAAGTAAGCATGTGTATGCAATGAGAGGATTCCCATATGCCTAAATGCAGAAGGAATGTTCGTAAGTGATTACAATTGTAATTCTCCACTAAATGTTTTGAGGCGATGTAATGCTGCTATCAAGAAAGCTGCTGATATATTTAAGAATGCTTCCCCCCTAGGCTATGCTTCTGTTTTACATCCATCAATAATGAAACAAATGGTAATCATTGACCTACAAAAATATATTTTTAGTCTGTTTTCTAGAGATGGTTTAAATACACACATAGTGGAACCTGGGAGGGATCCATAATCACAACCAATCTTATAAAAATAATAATAAACCTTGCATTTGATAGCGTTTCACATTGGGAGGATGTCTCAAAGCGCTTCACAGGATCATAAAGTGTAGTGACTGAATTTTGTAGGCTCACCCAGCACCTAATTCCACAAACAGCCATGAAGTGACTGACCAGTTTTGTCTGTGGAATTGTATAAACGGGATCTTTAATGTCCAACTGAGCAAGTGCCTCAGTTTAACAGCTCATAATATAACATAATATGTAGGAGCAGGGGTAGGCCATTCAGCCCTCCGAGCCTGCCCCGCCATTCAATCACGGCTGATCTTCTAATCTAACTTCAGCTAATACTATAACCCTGCCTTATCCCCATATCCCTTAATCCCTTGTGCAATAAGAAACATGTCTATCTCAGTCTTGAATATGTTCAAGGACTGAGCGTCAACAGCCCTTTGGGGTAGTGAGTTCCATACATTCACCACCCTTTGAGTGAAGAAGTTCTTCCTCAACTCAGTGCGAAAGGGCTGGTCTCTGATTTTAAAGTTGTGACCCCTAGTTTTAGTTTCTCCAACCAGGGGAAACAATCTCCCACTATCTACTCTATCATGCACTTTGATGATCTTATAGGTTTCTATAAGATCCCCTCTAATTCTTTTATATTCTAGAGAATATAGGCCCAAATTGGTCAGCCTATCCTCGTAACTCATCCCCTTCATCCTGGTACTAACCTAGTAAATCCACGCTGCAACCCCTCCAAGGCAAGTACATCCTTCCTTAAATGAGGAGACCAAAACTGGACACAGTATTCCAGGTGTGGTCTCACCAGGGCCCTATACAGTTGCAGCCAGACTTCCCTACTCTTACACTCTAATCCTTTCATAATGAATGCTAACATACCGTTCGCCTTCCTAATTGCTGCTGCACCTGCAGACTAACTTTCTGTGATTGGTGTACAAGGGCACCCAAGTCCCTCTGGACACTAACACATTCCAATCTCTCCCCTTCTAAAAAATAACCTGCTCTACTGTTTTTGCTACCCAGGTGGATGAATCACCTAACCTATCTATGTCGCTCTGCATTTTTTTAATGTCATCCTCTGTGTTGATACTTCTTCCTAATTTTGTGTCATCCGCGAATTTAGATATATTAACTTTGATGTCCTCATCTAGATCGTTGATGTAGACGGTAAATAGCTGAGGCCCAAGGACTGATCCTTGTGGCACTCCACTAATCATATCCCGCCAATCTGAAAAGGACCCGTTTATCCCTACTCTTTGTTTCCTACCCGTTAACCATTCCCCAATCCACGTTAATATGCTCCCCCCAATTCCATGGGTTCCTATCTTTTAGACTAACCTTTTATGCGCCACCTTATCGAATGCCTTCTGGAAGTCCAAATAGGCCACATCCACTGACTGATTCATCCTTATTTAGTTTACTCAAAATATCCTCAAAAAATTTTATGAGATTTGTCAAACATGACTTCCTTTTTGTAAAGCCATGTTGACTTGGCCTAATTATATTGTGCTCCTCTAAATACTGCACTACCACATCCTTAATCAATGATTTAAAAACATTTCCTAAGCTCACTTGAAGGGTGTCACCTTGAACAATACAGCATTCCCCAAGCACTGTATTGTCAGCCTAGACGAAAGCTTAAACCCACAACTACCTGATGAGAGTGCCAGCTTGATACCTGACCCATAACAGGGATACCTGATTGCTGGTCAGTGCCTCCACATGTGTGGCAGCCTTGATCACAAGACTGGTGACCTCACTGCGTGCACTCAATGCTGTCCATTCGTGCATGTGTCGGCCTCAGTTCACATTAAACTTCAAATCGTGCTTCTCACATCATCTCACTTCAAAACATTTAATTATCCAATAACGTCCTTTGACATGCGATCTGCACTGATAGAGCTTGTTGGTATTCTGCAAGAATTTGGGATTTTGTGACAAGTCCTGAAAATGTTGGGAGTCCACACCCCAAGCAAACCTGCATTATATCGAAATTCATTATAATGTGATTCTACTCTATAATAATGATTGACTTCCCATACTTGATATGTACTATGTGTAGGCAGAATCATCATTGTTTTGCCCAGTTTTGTATTTTTGTTAGATTATAAATAGATATTGGTGAATTGAGTAGCATAGGAGGGCTGGGGGGAGAGAAATATTTTGTCTCTGCAGCATTAACTGAAGTGGCTCTTTGTTACAGTTCCATAAACAGACACTGAGTTCTTCTATGATGCCTCACCCAGCAACTGCACCTTTTGGTCTGAAGAGGATGAGAGTGGTAGGTCCACAGGCATATGACAAAGGCGAGATTAGTGCCTTACAACACAATGAAGGATTACTGGAGAAAATAATCAAACAGGCAAAACACATCTTTCTGAGACGTAGGTGAGTTTAGTGGGAAGAGAAGTTGATCAACACTCTTTGTTCCTGTTGGAGCATTTGGATTTTCTATTGCAAGTTAAACTCTTAAACAAAAATTAATGGTCATCTATTAAATTATAATAATAATTCTTATATTTTGTATAGGGCCTTTTGTGTTGAGTGAAATCCCAAAGTGCTTCACGGCATTTTATAGTAAATTTATTTGGATTGTGCAAAATGGATAATAATTTTTTTACACAGGGAAAATAGCAATAATCCATTGGAGATTTCTGTTGGTATGGTATGTTCTTGTCAAGCGTTTATGTAATGCAGACATTTTTCCTGTTGTTTTACTAAGTCCTGGATTGTGTTCTTATTTTATATTGTTTTGTGGCTATTTAAGGTACTTATCAACGGTGCAAATAAATGTGTGTGATTCTTTTTCATTGTAGAACGGCATGGACCATTGATAGTTTGGCCAGCCGCATTGAGGATCCACAGATACAAGCTCATTGGTCAAACATTAATGATGTCTATGAATCCAGCGTTAAAGTGTTGATTACATCTCAAGGCTATGAACAGATATGCAAGTGAGTAGTAGAAAACTATAATGTGGGGTAAGAGGTAAGATGTTGGATTGATAGAGGCACACAATTTTTATACAGAAGAAACTTTCTATGAGAATTGATGGGTCTTTCCCGTTTTGAGGTCTCTGGTATCAGGATTATATATATATCATGGAAATTGGTGTATGGATCCATACCCATATAAATTTCGATGTACTGATGCATCATGCTTTTTAATCATTTTGTGCACTGGAAGTTTGTCATTTCCAGGAGAAGCATAGATATTTTTTTACTGATACATACAGCAGATTATTCTAAGAGCATATTCACTACCGGTATAAATTTTGAGATGCTTCTTTCATTGACAATCATTTTTAGCAAGTCTTATTAGAAATTAATATTTTTATTGACAATAATTTTAAAACCCTTGCCCTATTCATCAGAAACAAGTTCACTTGCAACAAATGTTTGAGAATATTGATCCATACATCGGAAGGACATCTCAATGTGCTTCAAAGGATTTAGTGTAAAGTTTAAGGACTGTTATATGTAGGTATATACTACAGACAATTTGCACACAACAATGTCCCATAAACAATTTCCACAAAGTGAAAGAACATTTCTTTCAATTTGAGGGAACGTTGACCAGGACACTTGCAGAAACTCCTTTCTCTTTTCAGATAGTACCATGGGATCTTTTAACATTCACCTGAACAGGCAGAGGGGATGTTCAATTTTAACAGGCAGAGTTTAGTGTTTCATACAAAGGACGGCACCTCTGACAGTGCAGGGCAGCACTGCATTGGAGTGTCAGTCTAGACTGAGTTTAAAGTCCTGACATGGGGCTTAAATCCACAGCCTTCCGACTCGAGAGACATGAACACTACCAGCTGAGCCAGGCTGACTCTGAACACGTGTCCTGGTGGTGGAAGTGCCAAATCCTAACCACTGGACCATTAATGCAAATATTGTTCAGGGATTCAAACTACTATGGATCAGCATCCAGAAAGGGAAATAATGTGATCTTGGTATTTTTAGTTTAGCTATTTGTTCACTTATTGCTGATGGTAGCTAAACTAATCAGCTTCCACAATGTTGGATAACCAAGTGATAGGCTCAAAAATCTCACCATATTATTAGTTTTGTTTTCAAATTGAAATGTTGGGGAAAATGTTTGCTTTGGGATTTTTATCTTGTTTATTTGTTTATGCTAACATTTATGCAATGGAAGTATTCTGTGATTGTTACATTCCTCTAACTTTGAGGGCTTGATTCTAAATATAATTTTATAAGTGTTGCGTATGATGGTGGGCAAAATTGATTAATCTTTTGTTTTTCTGCAACGGTTTCCCCTATCTGCAGATCAATCCAGTTGCAACTAATCATTGGTGTTGAACAGATTAAGGTGGTACACAGAGATGGGAGAGTAATTACACTGTCCCACCAGGAGCAAGAGCTGCAGGACTTCCTTCTCTCCCAGGTAACCAGATAAATAAAGACATTAGTTCATCCCATAAGTAGGCATATTTCTTATCCCTTGACTAATTTAAGTCATACAGACAGATATTGCAGAGTGATGGTTGTTTTGAAGTTTGTGGGGATTAGTGAGTAGGAAATGTCTGATAATAATAAAAGTGTGCATGAGGTTTTTAGCTGGGTCAGACATGAATTAGTGGTGGAGGTGTTGTGGAAATGGAGGACTTGGTCAGAACCCGGGTGAAAGTTTTTTGAAGGAGAGTTGAGGATTGAACAAATCGGGAAACACAATATAGTCAGGACCTGAGGTGAGGAGATGCTGAGAGTCTGTTAGAACAGAACTAGGCCTGAAGTCAAAGGTGGGGCCAGAAAAACAAGAATTGGATGTCATCCACGTATGTATAGAAGTGGACTCCATACCTGAGGACGATGTTACCAAGGGGACCTCTCTCTGGTGTAGATACTCTAATCATGGGTTTCCACACTGACTGTTTTCAAATTGTTATAGTAATGTGAAGGCTCAGTCTTCTGTGCAGTAAATACTTATATTTTTGAATAACTGGGTGTTTGGATTTCATTTTCTCCTTTGATAGATGTCTCAACATCAAGTTCATGCAGTCCAGCAATTGGCCAAAGTAATGGGTTGGCATTTGTTGAGCTTCAGCAGCCATGTAGGTTTAGGTCCAGTAGAGAGTATCGGAAATGCTTCTGCAATAACTGTGGCTTCACCCAATGGAGAGTATTCTATTTCAGGTAAGAACACTCCTAATAATAGTGCAATGTATATGCAGGGATAAGAAATCTGAAGTTTATTGTCTATAATTATACATTATACCCTTTATTTTGACCCTATCTGTACAACTCTGTCCAACATGTTCCACGTAGCTTGCTATTGATATTGCTATTTGGCAAGCTTTCCCGCTGCTTGTTCAGCTAGGACCACCCTATCAGTTAGGGCTTTGGCTTGCAGGGTTAACAGGAGCTGAGTGGGCCGACTCACTGCCCCTAGTGACTCTTGTCTTCGAGGTCCTGCCGATGAGCCAGGCTGGCTGTGTGGTCATCAGCAGTACCCTGGAATACTGTGGACCTGCCTGGCTCAGGAACGGTCTACTGAAACCACTGCAGAAGGCTGGCTCGATTCTGACATTGCGTTGCCACTCATGTCACCTTAGTTCAGCTCCAAGGAGATTCTGTTTACCCCACACCCCCCACCCGAGTATAGTCTGGGGTGGAGGGTGCGCTAAGTTACAACTGTATTGCGCCACATTATATTTGCTGCTTTTGGGGGGGGTGGAATCCAAAGCAATTCTTCATTCATGACCAATACTTCAAAATGGTTCTGAATTTATGAAATAACTAGCAGAAAACTGTCTGAACCTCACGTCTTGCTCTTGGTCATAAAAAGTTCATGTCTTATGCAACCTGTTTTGTCGCAGTGCGGACTGGGCCTGAAAGTGGCTGTAAGGTGGTGGTGCAGTTTCCAAGAAGTCAGTGTAAAGATCTTCCCAAAAGCGATGTGATGCAGGACAGTAAATGGAATCACCTTCGAGGACCGTTTAAGGAAGTGCTGTGGAGTAAGATGGAAGGGCGTAATTTTGTGTATAAAATGGAACTATTAATGGCTGCCCTTGCTCCTTGCCCATGACAAATGTATTTTATGAGTGAACATTTGTTCTGTGGATATTTCTATCTGTTTTTTGCAGAGAGTACCAATGATTTTGAAACAGTGGATTGCAAACTTGAAAAATTAGTGTTTCCTGCATTTATCCTGTCAATAAACACAGAGAGAAAAATAGTACTTTTCTAAGCTGGTTGTTAGGTGCTTGATGTGATGCAGATGTATGAAATATTGTTTGTTGAGTGTGGCTTCATTTTTGTATAATAAAATCCTATCAAGAATGTAAATAAAATACGGTATGCTTCACCAGTAGCATCGTTATACACTTACAAAAGTGATTTATTTATTTACAAAGTTTTGATGGTTATGAATTGTTCAAAAAATATATTTTACAGACAAAGTAGCATTAGAAATGCTAGTGTTAAAGTAAAATTCTATCAATGTTTTCAAAGGAAGTTGCACTCCCATTACAATAAATAGATAAATCTGCCCAATCATAAGGTTGAACAAGTTTGCGTATTTCTTGGTACCAAATCCACTTGAACAGCAGTGCCTAAAACCCTTTTTCAGAAATGAATAGGTCTCCGTGCTTTATCCTTCCCATTTTAAGAATGGAAATGTACCTTGGATCATAAGAGATTTCTGTTTGCGATGATATTGTGCTGCTGGCAGCCTAATCTGAGGGTCTTGTGTGCTGCACTCACCACCTTGAACATTGAGCCAATCAGTGGGACCTAATGATAGGTGCCCCCAAGTAATGTTTTAGATTTCTAGAACAGTAAGATGGCTGGGCCTTTACAAGCTGTGCAGCATAGTCCTCCCACCATGCTGAAAATCTGATGTGAAAACAGTCTTGGGATGTCAACGGCTGGAAGGTGTTACTTGTGCAGTTCAGGTTCATTCACATTTCCAGAGCTTAATTGGTAATAATAATAAAACAATAATAATCCTAGCAATTGATAAAGCACTTTATCACATCCTCGAGACATCTCAAAGCGCTTAGCAGGATATACTATAAAGTGGCTTGACTGTATTTTGTGGGTAAAACATGGCAGCCAAATTGTGTACAACAATGTCCCACAAATGGGCATGGAGTGAGTGACCAATTTTATTTAGGGGATTTGTTGGCAAGGACACTGGGAGAAACTTCTCTTTTCAAATAGTGCTGTTGGATCTTTTATCGTCCACCTGAACAGGCAGCCAAGACCTTTGTTTAACGTCTCCAAAGGATGGCACCTCCAACATTGCAGCAATGGAGTGTCAGCTTAGACTAATTTCAATCCCCGATGTGGGGCTGGAAGCCCCAACCTTACGCGGAGGCAAGAATGCTACCAACAGCCTGACTGATACACGGGTACGTTGTGAGGTAAGCAGATACTGCTCGAGTTCTGCACTTCCAATTGGTGAAACCATTGCTCTGGGTAGGAAAGTGCGGCTGAGATGTGGGCAAGTTGATGGTAGAACCGCTCTCACACAATTCAATGTTTTGCTATCCACTTACTCCAAACATGATTTTTTGGGTATTGAATCGCTGTCATCTATGGAGGAGAGTTAACCAGGGTTTTCTTGGAACTAAACATAGCTTAATGGTAGGATTTGGGGTTGCAGATCAGTTACTGGGAGCAAGGATTCTTCTGACTTTATAATAATAATCCTTGCATTTGATATAGCGCCTTATCGTGTCTTCGAAACATCTCAAAACGCTTCACGGTTCCCTTTTGTATTTTCCTACCTCTCATCCTTCTGAAGATGATATTACCTGCTGGGTCATAGTGTCATGGGCACTGAGCCCTTGCCCTAGTGAGGTTTTTGTGTGTGAGTCTGGCAGCTGGTGAGGACAGTCTAATTCAACCACTGCAGGCAATCAGCAAATTCAGTGGTTGATGAATAGCCTTTAGAAACAACATTCCTGTATATATGTACCCCTCTTCCCATCGCTGGGGAATGGTACAGTTCATTTTATGGTACAGATCAGTCTCAGTGATGCGCAACTTAAATGCCTGCTTAATGAAAGCCAAAAAATCAACTTAGTATCTTGGTCTATATATCTATGTGCCAAACTGCATTAACAAGTCAGGAAATCTTTCAACATAATTATTCCTTAATATATTTGGTAAGAAATAAAGCTGTTTCACTGACCATCGTATTCTGATATGGGATACTTTAAAGTATTCATAATAAGATTGATATTATTTTGCTATTTTAATCCAAAAATTGAGATTTGAAAATTGAATTTTGAAAGTGAAGGAAACTTATTTCAAAAGCCATACAAATGCAAAATAAATGATCTAATCTAAGTGAACGCAGGAACAAGCAAATAAATCTATAAATTGAAGTATATCTGGTCACCAGTCTGACTGAAGTGCTTGTGATGAAAATATCAACTTTATAAATGCTATTTGATGAAAAAAAGTCACTACATCAAATGAATTTGATATTAAATAATGCACATCTGAAGTATACAGCTGGCAGTACTCAAGATCCATGGGTATATTTTCCCTGATAACTACTGAAGAGGCATTTTGGAGTCCTGTAGCTCAGTGGTTAGAGCACTCGCTTTGCAAGTGAGAGACCCGAGTTCAATTCCAGGCAGAGGGCGAAACCTTGGGCAAGTTTCCTTACTCCACACACCTAATAATAATCCCTCCAAAACCAAAAACAATAATAAATTGGTCATTTTCAATCTACGACTGTTTGCGGGACATTGCTGTGTGCAATTGGCTGCCGCGTTCGCCCACAAATATACAGTCAATTCACTTTGCAGTGTGTTCTGTGAAGCGCTTTGGGACGTCCTCCCGACGTGAAAAGCGCTATATCAAATGCAAGGATTATTATTATTATTATTATTATTTTGCACAGTAATCGTTTTATGTCATTGAGGGCAATTATGCAATCACTTACGATCCATATACAATCTTTAAGTGTATCCCTTTCATTTGTTGATGCTTTGTTGTGAGTTATTCCTTTAGGTGTCATTTTTTTCACCTAGATTGTGCAGGTCTGATTCCAACATATAAACTAACATCTCACTGGGGTGAAAGTGATGACAGCTTCCATATTGCTGGGAGCTTAAATAAGGCAAGAAAAAGAATGAGCATATGGTCAAAACCCCTTACTGTGGCCAGACCCCATAAAGAAAAGGATTAGATGTATTGCAGTTCTGCACATATCTGTACAGATAAGAGACTGTTGTCGACTGATTTTTATGCAGCATGAAAAGCATGAAAGTTAGTTACATTATGGTGATCCTGATTGGGTTTAAAACTAATGCAGCACAGCTGGTAGCTATGTGTTCCATTTATTCTTCTTTTAAGTGACGTCTGAAACTATTCACTCCTTATTCTTCTGTCAATATCTGTAATATTTTCAAATTAAATGGGAAGTGTAATCATCTAAAAGAATATTTAGGGTACACTTAGAACTATTGTTAAAGATTAGGCTGAACGGCCTCCTTCTGTGCTGTATAATTCTATGATTGCATTAATCAGAAATGGGTGTTATTTGAAAAGGAAAGGGAGTTTCTACTTTTTTTTCTTGCCAACAATTCTCCAGATAAAATTATTCTTCCATTTCACGGTTGTAGGGACATTGTTGTGCCATATTTGTCTATAAATACACAGTCATCGCATTCGCAGAGTGCAAGAGTTCTGGATAGTCTGTTGGATGTTACCAGATATGAGTGGATACAACTATCTAGGAAGATTAAAAAGTTTCTCTCTCGAGATGAGACAATTGAGAAGGGACCTGATAGAGGTGCTTCAGACTATGAATAAGGTAGACATTGATAGCCGTTTTGGTGAGCCCAAAACCAGGAGGCATATGTAAAATAGCTTATAATAGCTGGTGTATTTAGTTTATCATGTCATTTATTGAATGCCAAGTGTTGTGGATTTTATCGAAACTCCAATAAAATTCTGTTGAGTTTACTTAACTGTGCTTACTCGAACTTTCTGTATAAATCAAAGGAGGGAATGCATGAACAGGTTGAACCTATGTCACAGCCTGTTTAGAAAAAAGACTGAGGATGGAAGCTTCCCAATTCGCTTTAATTTAAATAGCAATTGGTAGTACCTGTTATTGTTGAAGAACTCATTAGTCAAGTTACAGTGACTTGCATTCATTAGTGAGGATTGAACACGGAGTCCACCCAGTGCACTATGTGAGGGGGAGTGAGCCCATATCGTGGGTGTACATATATGGGTTAGAACCGTCTCAATAGGATAAACATTAGAAAAAAAATTGTAAAACGTACTGGAATGGCAGGAGCTGCTGAGTCCTTATTAAGTGGCTCTGAAAAACACAAATATAGGTAACCAAACCAGGTTAATCTAAATGCATTTAGTAATATTAGAGGTATATTGTTATCATATCATTGGTTGGCTATGTCAGTCAATTTTCCCTTAAGGAATATAACATTTTTGGGGGTCAGCCGAGTGAGTGTCTGACACATTTGGATACTCATCACCATGCTTAAGATTATCCGAACCAAACTGAGGATTCCATGCATCCCACCTACAAATGGAAATTCCAGAGATAGCTCATTGGAATGGAATGTGTACTCTCTCCCTGGAGGGATACATCCTGCTTACCTAATTCCAGAAAGGATAGGAGCAGGTTGGTAAGAGCCAAGGCCTGGGGACCCCAGAGAGTGTGTTGGGGTACTGCTGAAGTCTAACCAGCTAAAACCAATAGCTTGCATTGATATCACTGTTTGGCAAGCTTTCTTGCTGCTTTTCCAGCTAGGACTACACTACCTCTTAAGTTTTTGGCATGCAGGGCTAACAGGAACTGAGTGGGATGACTCCCTGCCGTCAGTGACTGGTCTGCCCTTCCAAGACCTGTGCTAAGTTAGGTTAGTTGTGCTGTAGTCAGCAATGCCCTGGAATACTGCGGATCTGCCTGGTTCAGGAAACGGACTACACAGAATGCCACAGAGGGCTGGCTCGATTCCGATATTCTGTTGCCAAACATGTCACTTTGAGGCCAATTCAGCTACAATGAGACCGTGTTTATCTCCCTCCCAAGGAGGATAGTCACCAGTTGGTTATTTGACATCCAACATGCATGGGTTTTAGCCCTCACTAGGTGGATGGCAGGTACAACAACAACTTGCATTTATATAGCGCCCTTCACACGGGGTAGCATCCCAAAGTGCTTGACTGTGGCAGAATCTGATCCCGAGCTGGGGGAGAGGGAAGCGGAAGGTGGTCGTAAGTACGATCAAAAAGGAATGTCTTTAGGTGGGATTTAAAAGTGGGGAAGGAGGGGACAAAGTGGAGTGATTGAGGGAGAGAGTTCCAGAGTTTTGGGGT